GCGGAGCAGAGCCCGGTGCGGGGAGCGCGGCCCGGGGCCAGGCTGGGGCCGCTCAGCGCCGCGCCCGCTCCGTGCCCCCTCCCCGGGACCGTCGGGAGGCGGCGGGGGAGAGGCCGGGTGTCACAGGATGGATGGGACAGCTCGGAAGGGACCACAGTGCTCCAGCAGGGTCATCCCAGAGCACGTGGAAGGGGATTGTGTGCGGGTGGTTCTTGAATATCTCCGGGGAGGGAGACTCCACAATCTCTCCGGGCAATGCATTCAGTGCGCGGGCACCCGCACAGTAAAGAAGTTCTTCCTCATGCTCCGGTGGAACTTCCTGTGCATCACTTTCTGCCCACTGCCTCTTGTTCTGTTGCGCGGCACCACAGGGAACAGCCTGGCTCCATCCTCTGGACACCYTTCCTTACTTACAGACATTGCTGGTGTCCGCTCTTTGTCCTCTCTTCTCTATGTGTCGGTGCCCTGTTGCTCTCAGCACTGCATCTGCAGGGAAAGGCGAGTTTATTCAGTGTTGTTTAAGTGTGTGTTTCAGTGTTGCTGCTTTAGAATGCAGTGGTTCCCATCAGTGCAATAAATTTCCTGTTTAGGTGACAGGTAAATGGAGTTTGTTCTTTTTTGTGTTTTTAAACTTAACTTAACTTAAAGTGAAAATTGATTATGACTTGAGTTTGCAGCAGAGGGAGGTTTAAAATAATTTGGGCTTTTAAAATAGTTTCGTGTATTGTTTTTTTTTCCAGTTTTGATTTTTTTTTCCAGTTGTGATTCTGTGCATTCTGAAAGACTGAAGTTAAAGGAATAGAACTAGACCAGTTCTCTGGGAATTGGGAGATCTGAAAACTGATAAACAAGACCCTTTGTTTGGATGCTGTGACATGTTAGAAAGAAACACACTTAAAGACAAGGCACTGTGGTACAGCCTTTTTAAATAAAATGGGTACATGAATGTTAGCGAAACAGTCTTCTGTTACAAGCCTGAGTTGTGCAAACTAAACAGAAYTAAAGCAAAATTAATTTAGCATCTAATGGATTATTGTTAATAACATCAAAAGGGTGTGCTATTGCCAGACAAAATAATAGAAGATGACTTTCTTTTTTTCTCCTGTTTTTTTCTTTTTGAGAGTCTTTGCAAAGTTGGAGGGTCCTGAGCAGTTACAGGCTGACTGGAAGGAACAAGTGGCTTGATACCTCATGGCTGCTATCTCCTAAGAGTGTAGGATTTTCACTTACATTGGCCCTTGGTTGTTCTGGAAGGGAATGAATACCACTGCCACCAATTCCAGTAGCTTCCACTAAGCCCTGCGTGTGTAAGAAAAGTCTTAGGATCCTCTTGATTCTTCCTCTTTGATGTAACCCTTTTCCCATATTGCTTTTCCCTTCTCTTTCCAGTTCACTAGAAACTATTTGCTGTCAGCAAGGGCTACATCTTTTGCTGCAGTGGCACCAGAATGCAGCTGAGAGTAGTGCTGTGAGCAGTCCAGGTTGGCCATGTTGCACTGTTGCAGGTGGGAGAATATTCTGTGCATGTACTTCAGCATCAGCAAAGCCTCAGGAAGGCTTTGTTTTCTTTTTCTGGTGGTCTTTCCAATTATGTGTGTGTCTCCCCTTTCTTTCTCATTCCCCTTATGGAAAACAGGATTTGACTTCTGAAGGTGCTTAGATAATTTTTTTCCCCTCTCGTTCCATTCGAGCCATAAATTTTTTTAAGTGGTTTTTTTCCCCTTTTTTGGTTTTTGAATCTTAACATCATAATTAAAGAATCAAATTTAACTTTATTGAAGCACAGGGGCTTTCATTTATAAACATTAATGCTTTAAATACATGTATAGTTTTGAGCAACACCTAAGCCTACTTGAAGCAGTGATAATTTTTCAAGGGTAACAGGGCCAAGAAGACAGCTGAGGGATTTCTTGGAAACCATTTATTTCAATGAAAATGAAGCAATAGCACAGTCTACACAATTTTTTTCCATAACCTGTAAAACATTTAAGCTGTTTTTCCCCAAAAATATACCTATCTCAGTTAAAATGCTTTGAAGTCTGTTGAATTCAGTCCTTTAGTAAATAGGGGACTCAATAGTGAATGTAAATTACTAGTATCTCATTTAAAATTTWCATGATTTTTTGGGTGAGGTAGTGTGCAATGAGATTTTAGTCAAATCATTGTGCCTGAAATTTAGGATTGTGTTCTGGAAAAAATGCTTTGTTACACAACTTTGGATGATGACTGCTGTTGTTAATAACGAGTGGTTTCTTTGGTCGGGGTTATCTGCAGGTTTTGTATCAAAGTGTCTAGGTACTAGTAGAGGTGCTTTTATCCTTGAGCTGTCATCATAACAATACTTTGTTGAAATTAACTCTGCCCTAGCTTGTAAAGCGTGGTCCAGCTTGAGTTCTGGCTTAAAGACAGTGGAGTGCTTTCATGGATTWKAGGCYTAAAGGAATCAGAAGGGGCATAAAWGACYTGCACTAAAGGTCTGAGGAGCACAAAGCTCCCAGTGAAAGTCAGTGGATATCATTTACTGCTTCTGGTAAAGGAAACTTCAATTTCAGCATTTTAGGACTAGGTCCTGCAGATGCATTGWGGACATCTTAGAAAATGTGTGTGACACTGGATTTTTATTTTCCTCRATAAAGGTGAGCCATGTCTTTCCATTCCGGGCGAGGATGTCCCCGTGGCCAGGGGGGACCAGGAGCAAGAACTTCRACACAGACCTACCGCCCTCAGAACCTCCGGCAGCTTCACCCGCAGCAGCCCTCTGTGCAGTACCAGTATGACCAGCAAGCTGCSCCTCCAACAACCTATTCCAACCCTCCAGCCACCAGTTACATGCCTCCCAGACCAGACTTTGTGCCGTATCCTCCTCCAGTGCCCCCTTCCACACAAAATCCCATCAGCCAGTGTCCCATGAGGCCACCATTTCCAAACCACCAGATGAGGCAGAGCTTCCCCGTGCCTCCATGTTTCCCTCCCACCCCGCCACCGGTGCCAAATCCCAGCAACACTCCCGTGCCAGGCACTCCTGCAGGACAAAGCACCTTTCCTTACATGATGCCTCCCCCCACGGTAGCGCACCCTCCCCCACCGCCAGTGATGCCGCAGCAGGTCAGCTACCAGCCCGTGTACTCGGCAGGCTACTCGCAGCAGTCCTTCCCGCCGCCCAGCTTCAGCAGCTACCAGCACAGCTCCRGCTCCTTCCCCAGCAGCACYGCCAGCAGCAGTGCCAGCAGCAGCCACTTCCGCCACACCGGGCAGTACCCGGGGGACAAGTCCCAGAGTGACCGCAGGTCCCCAGACAGGAGCAAGCACTATGATGAGCACCGGCACCGCGAGCACGGGCACATTCACGGCGATAGGCATCGCTCTGCCAACCATGGGGATCGTCGGGATCGCGGCCGCAGTCCGGATAGGAGAAGGCAGGAGAGCAGCCGGCACCGGACAGATTATGACAGRGGAAGGATATCACCTCATCACAGAAGTTATGAGCGAAACAGGTAACTTGAGGTGTTATCTGCCTGCAGGRGGAGAGATGTCATCATTGTTCCATA